AGAGAGAGAGAGAGAGAGAGAGAGAGAGAGAGAGAGAGAGAGAGAGAGAGAGAGAGAGAGAGAGAGACGAAGGCCGGGGGGAGGAGGGGGAGAAGCCCGAGAGCGGTCCGAGAGAGATCCGAGAGATATCCGAGAGAGGTGGAAGGTGCTGGGAGAGGGAGAGATGGCGTCTATATGGGTAGACGATTTGGAAGCAGGTGCTGGAGATTCTGGAGAAGAGCGGTTGCATGATTACGTGGAGTACGTGGAAAACAACGAGTTTATTCGCAAACATCAGTCGAGAGGAGTTCGCATTTACTCTGAATCGTATCCTCTCGTCCACATGCTGAGATACCATTCTACGGCGTTAAGGATGGTCCTCCGTACTGCTGAATTCTACTTCTTGCTCGTTTTCCATTCTTTCCTTCTCGTCGCATTCCGATTGTACGGCAGGCTTGTCGTTGATGGTGAAGTCGAGCGCTTTGCCAGTAACGGCCGCCCCCGCAGTCATTGGCCTCGTATTTCTAACGAGCTCTTCACAATCTTGTCCCCTCTTGTGGTTTTTCTCCTTGTCTTCTACAATAATCAGGCCTACAACAGGTACATGGAACAGTTCTTCCTCGCCCGACTCATTGAGGGCCGTATGAGGTACATGACCGCCCGATTGCGTGCCTTCTTCCGGCGACAACCCTTTCCTGCAGCTGAGCAGTCGATGCGATCTATTTTTAGAACTATGGTGGTGGCTCATTACTCTCTCTTCTTTCGGCTTCCTCGGTACGTCAGGCATGGTGTCGACAAGTGGGGGTCAGACTACTTGCTCAAATGCCAGCTTATCACAGCCGAGGAGAAGCAATTCCTAGAGAAGAAGACAGGCCCGCAAATCTTCGCAGAGGCAATGGCATTCGCCACGGAACTGCTGGCAGAACATCTTCGACAAGGACACATAGATAGCCAAGTGTACGGCTATTTCCAGGAGGATTTCCAAGTTCTAGCTCGATACATAATGACAATCACTAGCTACGCGAACCACCCAGTTCCGTTCGCGTACTACCACTTAACGACAGTCCTCACGGTCATGCTGTTGATGTTGGTCGCCTATTCGTTCATCTTCTACGACTCCATATTCACGATTGTGGTGTACGGCCTGCTGTGTTTGGTCGTTCTAGGGCTGAGAGACTTGAGTGCGGCTCTGTCGGACCCGTTTGGCACGGACGATGTGGACTTTCCGACGATCTTACCCACGGCAAGAACTCACAGGGACATGGAGGACATCCTAGATAGGGATAGCGTTTTCGGTCGGGTAATGGCGAAAGGTAGTGAGAGTAGGCAGCGACAGCGCTATCGGGATTGGGTCGTGGGAGGGGTACAGGACATGCTCATGAAGCAGCTTAGGAAGACTTCGTGACAGGGCCACGCCAACGGACAGGCTCCGGAACAGGTTCGGGAACGGGATGGGAATCACCCTCCGGAACCGCTCTTCAAGCAGCGGATCTTCAAGCAGGGAGTCACCCTCCGGAACCGGATATTACGTCATCCTCGCTGCACGGATCTCCTTCGTTGCCTTCAGGGTCACCTCCGTTTCCTCTGCCGCAGGCGACCGCCGTCACCCTTAACTGGGCTGCATCCCGATGAGCTGAGCTGTTTTCCACAATACCGTAAGTAACTCTCTCTCTCTCTCTCTCTCTCTCTCTCTCTCTCTCTCTCTCTCTCTCTCTCTCTCTCTGTGTGTGTGTGTGTGTGTGTGTGTGTGTGTGTGTGTGTGTGTGTGTGTGTG